TATTTCACAGTGTTGTGAGAGAAGAGAAACACCAGTGATGCATATGTCAGCACCACCCATATGGATGAATGTTAGCTGTTGTTATTATTATTCAGGGCCTGAATTATGTTCAGAACCCGCCTCTGTCTCTTGCTTTCTATATATAGCATCCAGTTTATGCCCAACGCTGGAGGGCTAAGTACTTTGGGAGCCGTGGGAAGAAAAATGTTTTTTCCAGAACTTGAAAATGATGGGAGAGAAGAAAGGGGAAAAGCCTTGAGGGAGCTGGTTTGTAGGTATGGGTTAGGACTGGATGCAGACCTCAGGTGCTGTCCTTCTCCAGAATCTGAATCACCAATGTCAAGGTTAGAGAAAGCTGCATGGGTCAGATCAAACCTTACCTGGTGCTTAGTGGCTGCAGTTGTCAAGTAGAGGAAACACAGGAAGCCCAGTCCAGACACAGGCATGGCAGGAGGAATGAACAGAGTTTGATAGGCCAGTGTGCCTGCAAAGAACCGCATTAGGAAGCATTATCTTCCTAATGCGGTTATGAGAGCTATTATCTTAAATTATGAACCTTGAATATCAACTCTAGAGGTTTGATAGACAGATATAGACAGGTTTCAAGCGAGGGAGCAAAATGATTGAAACAGGAGGGCTCTGTTAGACACCACATGGAGAGTGATGTGGAGGGGAAAGCTGAGTTCAAGGAGATCACATAGAAAGCTCTAGGAAACCTGAGGATACAGTGACAAGCAGCCGAGCAGAGTGGTGGTAGAGGTTGGAGGATGCTGGGAGCGCTGTGTGATGGAGTGATTGGGCAAAGAATTGAGGGGCAGGGTGGACAGGAAAGTGCAAATCCTATGAGGCCCCAGTTTCTGCCCTGAATGGAGATGAGAATGGTAGTGCTTATGAAAGGTGGCAGCAGCAAGCATGAGGGAGGGCCAGTTTGAGGGGGAGAAGTTCTGTTTGAGCCTCGTTCACTGGTGAGCACAAAGCGATCAGAATGCATCTGGTTGTGTGGCAGTGTTCCCTAGGCTGGGGAGCAGATTGATTTTTTCCCCACTTAACCCCAGAAAAGTGTATGTTCACTCAATAGGAAAGATATTGCTAAGGAATAAAGAATGAATTTCCACAAAATTGAGACTGAACCCTAGTTCAAGCAACACTGTCCTTGAACTCACTATGTGGCCGAGGCTGGCCTTGAACTCATGGCAACCCTCGGGCCTCAGCTTCCTGAGTGCTGGGATTACAAGTGTGCACCACTACTCCTGGCTTCCTAGCTTTCTTTTAATGTTTGATAGATGCTACTCTTTTAAAAAAGAGTCAGATGTATAAGGAATAATGTGAAATCCATACCCCTGTGTCCTTGATCACCCTGTCTCCCTTACTTTCTCACCTAGAAGTTAAGCTGTAGTACCAGTTTGGTGTGTGTCCTTCCTTCCTTGCCCTTTTTCCCCTGAGAAGGTGATGGTTTACTCCCTGCTTCGTGGTTCCTGCTTTTACCCTATGCATCAAGTCCAAG